CTAGCGGCGCGTGAGGGGAGAGGAATAACGAAATGGCGCGGGGGCCGAGGGTGAGGGACAAAGAGGAGGGGGGATGGATGGACAGGGGACAAGTGACGTGTCCTGCGCGCAGTGCTGTGCGGAACACTCACTTTACGCGGCAAGGTCGTGCTCGCTCGATGATTGCTTGCCAACAAGGCCCCTCGGCGCGGCATGAGAAGCCGGGCTGCCAACATTAAAGTTAAAGGCCTAGGGAGGGGGGTATCGGGGTGGGTTCCAGACAGCCTACCATGCTATCCCTTTCCGAAGCCTACCAGGCTTCTGATAGACAATTTGTTCGTTCACTCCAAGCCCTCCACCCCCACGTCAGAGCTCTCAACTCCAATCCCTGGGGCCGCTACTTCACCGAGGGAATCCATGTTCTTCTTAAGAGAAGCTGGGAGCTTGAGCGCTGCCCCCGAGGCCCGAAACCTGAAACGACAAACAGTGGTACAAGTTTTTTGGCGACGCCTGCAGTGAAGGACCCCGCGCGGGCGCGCGGCGGAGGACTGGATGCGGCAAGCTTGCACAGCTTGGTAACATCCACATCCATAGCTGCCAGCCCTGGATCTCTGGCGCTGGCAAATCTTCATATCCAACCTTCCAACAAATCCTCGAGATATCGGGGCACGACTCAGAAGAGGTGGGTATGTATGAACCCGCTCACCCTCCTGTTGGGAGGGGATCCCGTGATGGTCCCCCTGGGGAACGCTTTCTCATTCAAAGCTCCCCGCCTCTTTCCCTGCGGCCACCTGGGGCTCTCCAGGCTCGCCGCCACAAGGTGATCCGATCTAGGCCCTAATCGAGTCGAAAGGAAACTCCTTCCGTTTGATTCCTTCCTCGTGGGGGGGGGTCCCCGGAGGGGTGCGCGGCGTGCACCTGGGGGGGTCACAGGGAAACTCTGAGCATCGTTCGACCGATCCCTATCCCCACTGGCATGTCCGTGGCCCCACTGGCCAATTTGCCCCACTATGTGGATACGCACGCACACGCATGTGTATAGATTATGCATTAATGGACAGTCCAAAATCCAAAACCCACTTTACCAGCATTCACTGACGACGGTGGTGTTGTTCCTTTCCTCCTCCCACCCTTCATTTCTCTCTCGCTGTCTATCTCTCTCTCCCTCTTTCTCTCCCTATCTCTACCTGTCGGTCTCTCTCTCTCTCTCTGTCTCGGTCACTCTCTATATGTATGATTGTCCTTCTCTCTCTCTCTGTATATATATGTTTGTCTCTATGTCTCTCTCTCTCTATCTTTTTTTTTTTTCTCTCTCTCTCTCTCTTTGTTCATTATGTTTCTTCCCTTCTTCTTCCTCTCTCTCTCTCTCTGATTTTTGTTGTTTCTCTCTCTCTCTCTCTACCAGGCACCCGACACAATCCCTGTGAAAACCCAAGGTTTGCGACGTCAGGGGTTCGGAAACCCTGTGGAAACCATGCGTTTGCAATAGGATTGTTTCGATATGGGGGAGTCTCTTCCCTCCAATGAAGATCCAACCCAAGAGCCGTCCAAGAAGCTCAGTTGCCCAGAATCCCAGACACATCCAAAACATCCAAATGAAAACACATGGTTTCCATAACTCTGATCCCAGAAATCCCAACAATCCAATTGAAAACACCAAGCTGCAATACCCCTGGCATCGCAAACCCTATGTTTGCATGCGGATGTTCAGGATCTCCGGGAAGGGAAATGAGGAAACCATATATGTTCATCTGGATGTTAGGTGTTTGGGCGGCTCTGGGGGTCTGCGTTCCTGGCAGGGCTCCTGGGTTGGACTTTGGCTGGAGGGAAGACAATCCAAACGACTCCAAAACATCCCAATGAGACACACATGGCATCCGCACTTCTCATCCCAGAATTTTGAAATTTTAATCACCAGGCTTCCGCACTCCTGGCATGGCAAACCTGTTTGTTGTTCACAAGGATTGCATCGGGTGTCTGAGCGAGAGAGAGAGAGACAGAGAGAGCGCAACAAAACACACACAATGATTAATAAGAAAAACTAATAATAAGAATAATAATAATAGTTAGAACAATAATAATATTAATAATAATAATAATCAGAATAGTGATAACAATAATAAGAATAATACTAATGTGGCTCTGCTCATTTTTCGCCGCCGGAGATGAACCACATATCCGATAGCACTGAAGGGCCTGCGAGCTGACCAGAGGCATAACACAGATCGGAGGCACCCGAAGACATTTATCAGGATCCCCCAGCTCTGCTGAGCAGGAGGGTGAAAAGGGTAGGCTTAGGGATAGCCGGAAAAACTTGAGCCATCGTGTCAATGGACCGATGCTGCAAGGACGGCGGTGCGCCAACACCGCAGACAACATTCCCGAGCAAGCACATACATGTGGCTCTGCTCATTTTTCGCCGCCGGAGATGAACCACGTATCCGATAGCACTGAAGGGCCTGCGAGCTGACCAGAGATATCACACAGATCGGAGGCACCCGAAGACATTTATCAGGATCCCCAATCCCAAATTCTTGGAACTGGCCAACGGCCTTCGCGAAGCGCTTAAATAACAGCTCACATATATGTTCTACAAATAATTGCGGATATGGCGGGGCAACAAAAATCTTGAATTTACCCGTTGCACTCTTACCTACAAGATGCTCGTGTTTCTTATTAGTGGCCGAGCACCTGCCCCCACTCATGACACATCTCTTAATAACCGAGAGCTCTGGACATCCAAAAGCCAGCAGGGACGTGTTTTTTTCTGCCACGGCGTCCCATACTGGCAAAAGCTAAAGTTTCATTTCGGCCCCGAGACGCTTGAGCGAATTGAAAGGGCGGGTCAACCAAATTCTAGACTCTAGAATTTGGTTCACCTCTAGAATCTAGAGGTGAATGGATTCGCAATGACGGCTCGCACGTTTGCCAGGATGCAGGCACGAGCAAGCGTGGCCGAGGCGCGCATCAACGCGTTGCCTAGGCGGACCTTCGCAGAATCATTGTCACTGAGGCCGGGGACACCGACCAGCCCTGGCCCCGGAATCTCGGAGGGGGGCGGGACCAGCCCCCCCTCTCCGAGCTCTGGGCCAGGAGGTGCAAGGGGCCCCCAGCCAGACGAGACGGCAGGCAGGCGAGACAGCGAGCTCAAGGAGGGCCGCCCAGGCCGCAGGTCTGAGGATGCCTTGGTTGGCTGAGTGCGCAATGTCGAAGGTGTAGACGCGGTAGCCCCTGCTGGCAATCTCGAGCGAGAGGCGACGGCAGCCGGCGAAGACCTCGACACAGTAGCCGCGCCTCCTGCGGGCACCAGGCGGCGGCTCAACGACGCCGTAAGGGCGCCCGGCAACGATTGCAGGGCAGCCAGAGCCGCCGCCATCACGGCCCGCGGTAGCTGGGCCTCTTCTCGCTGTAGCCGGGCCGCCGCCTCGTAACGTCTCATCGAGGCGTCGGCGCTCCAGCGGCCGCGCTGCTTCACCTCCAGCGGCGTCCTCGCATTCTCCCTCCTGTCCTCCGACGGCCCGCCGTGCCTCATCTGGTACAATGCATGCAGCTTCGTCATCCCGAGGCGCAGCTGGGCGGCCCTGAACACCGCGGCGAAAGAGACCATTGAGAACGGGGAGATCCTCTGGCTGGTCGCCGGCCTGACTGCGATCAGCAGCGCCTCGCCGACGAAGAGCCTCCTCGGATGATGGATCATCAGGCTCTCGTTCGTAGCCATGGTCTTCGACGTCTGGCCTCGCTCTTCGGGGTGAAGGTTCAGAGCGACGAAGGGCGAGGTCGGGAACAGCGGCGCCACCGCGTCCGCCACCTGAAGGTAGAGCCCCTCCGAGGGCCTCAGGTAGCACGCGAAGCACAGCACCGCCAGCAGCGCGGCCAGCGGCTCGCCCCAGTCCAGCACCACCTGCGCCACCGCGACCGCGACCAGCCAGGGCATCGGCGGCCGAGTGACCGCCGGCCCCAGGCGCGACCAGGCCAGGAGGCCCCGCGATGTGCGGGGCAGCGAGGCTCCCCCTCTGCCCGCCGACGGGATAGTCGCCTGCCAGGCCGCGTAGAGCACCTGCCCCGCGGAACGGTCGTCGCCGTCGGTGTACATCTCCTGCACCAGCTCGGCCATCGCGAAATCGGCGGACTCCAGCGAGTTCACTAGCAAGCCCCGGAGGAGGCAGAAGGCGGCCAGCCTGCGCAGGGCGCCGAGGTACCTCGGCCACGATTGCGCCTTGACGGCAGCGAGCGCCATCGCGTTGGCCACCCCCAAGCCAAATGGGCGCGCGACCTCCACGATGTCTGTCACGAGCTCCGGCGACAAGGGCAGCGACATGGTCGGCTTGGCAAGGCCCCTGTACGAAGCAGGGCGCCTCAGGACCGCAGAGGAGCGCGTCCGCGCCCTCCCAGAGCCGCGAGCCACCATCCGCCGCGTTCAGCTCGGAAGGGCGCCACCGATGGTGCACCCGCGCGTCGCCTGCGAGTGTAAGTGCGAGAAGACGCCTGCAGATCCTCAACAATCCTGGGGCGGAGGACCTGCCTTTCTCTGAAGCCAAAATGAGCGATAGAGTATCCCCAAGATGAAAAAGTGAACAGCCGAAAGACGCCAGAGAACGGAGCTGGTGCCTGAGGGCTGCCACGGAGCCCCTACCTTCGAGTACCATGATGTTTTCGACCTCCAGGAAACGGGCTGCGAAGTCGAGCTGCCAATCCTTGGGATCCAAGAGCTCCTGAAGGATCTCGGTGAAGATGGGGTTCTCGTCCCAGACCTCTGGAGCCTCGACGGGGTCCACCGGCTTGACAGTGATGATGCTGCTGAAAACGTCCGTGCCCAAGAGCGCATAATCGCGAGCCCTGGTAGCGGGGGTCCCAGCCTTGCACCTAGACTTCTGTTTGAAGGAACCAAGCGACCTGACGACCTCGGCGCCCAGCATCCGCGAGCACACGGCATACCCAGACAGACACGCGTCCGACGAGGTGACCCTGGGGCTCCATGGTCTATCGAGCCGCGCCCGGCAGAACGGCAGCAGCGCGAGGAA